CAACAAAAATGAATCGCATGGTCCCAGGAGAATATTTTAACTCAGGTTACCATAAACTGCATTCACGCCATGTCGTAATTACCATAATTCCGAGAAGCTGTTCCACTCGAAGCTATATATATATATACAGTGCACAGCATAAATTAGTACACCCCCTCTGAAACTTAACAAATTCAGCAATTACTCTTTGCTTAGAAGACATGTTATGGTTTTTTAGAGATATAATATTCCAATAAGTCTGCTTGATCAGTTACCAAAGAAGAATGTTAAAATTATTCAAGAAAATAAAATTTTCTTATCAAAGTGATAAAATGTCGTATTGCACAAATGAGTACACCCTCCTGAAAGTTACTAAATAAAACAAACAAACAAAAAAAAATCTGGTGTAAGGTTAAGGTAAGTATTGATCAACAGGTAAGTATGTTGAACCAAAACTGTTGAAGGTAAGTCATTTCTTGATAATTAAATGTTATGTGGCCCATTGAAACATACTCAGACTTAATGCTGACAACAATGAAACCACTTGAGAGAGAACTGTCAGGAGATTTATTTCTTAGCATAAAAGAGGACAATGGTACAAGAGGAATACCAAAGTATTGTTTTAAATGTGAAAATATAGCCAACACACAAATATGTAACACAGAAATTCAAAAACAATGGACTTGTGAAAAGGCCCCTGAAATAATCAGGTCTTCACTTTAAGCTTTCATTTAGTGATGAGTGAGTTTTTGCTACATAAAGAGCATGAGAAACACTGTGAAAGTGTCTCAGAGCCGACAAAAGCTGTGAAAAGAGTGACACTTTTTCTCACAGAGTAAGATGCAGCATGCAGAAGTGACATGCATGGTTATTTATCCACACCAGAACTACCGACTGTAGCCAAAGCGCCATAAACTCATTTAGCTTTTTCCAAGGCCCATATTTACAAAATATAGACTTCTGGGAATCCATACTCTGGTCTCATGAGACCAATTCAATCATTTCGGATCTAACAGCATCCAAAATGTTCTGGTGTTGCTAGAGGAGGAGTACAGAGAGAAGTGCCTGGTTCCCACAGTGGCATTCAGTGGTAGTAAAGCTCTTCTATATGGATGTATGAGTGCTGAAGGTGTGAGGGAGTTGTACTTTATCAACGATGTCATGAATTCACACACCACTGTGTGATGTCATACAAACACCTGAAACTGAAGATGCTACCCTCTTCTCATTCTCTGCATTGTTGGGCTTTTTTTTTTAACATGACAATGAAGATGTTCATTCTCCTGAGTTGAAAATCCTTCAGTGGACATGTATCTTAACACTCTTGAACTGCTGTGAGAGATTCTGTAGAGACGAGCTAAGCAACACTCCCCATTAAAGACCAGAGCATTTAAGGAGGTCGTCCTCCAGGAGTTAAACGGCACAGATGTGAAAATTTTACTGTTTTAAAAAAAAAACAGAAAATAATAATTTTGCGGCGGTCAGGTGGTACATTGGTCACGTGGTCCAAACTGTACAGTGCGAGAACATAGATATATATACGTAGATGCCTCATTAGTGACTGTTTCTATGGGCCGCTATACGTAAGCCATCCGCCATATTGTAACGGTCAACTTGACATCATTCACCATAGTAATCACTTCAACCCAAATATTCAGATGTGTGCAGCGCATTTTATGGAGGACTGTTTCCTGATCCTGGTAGAGTAGACTACAATGCCGGCTGTTCTGACTCACAGACTGTAAGTATGTTTTTTATATTAAAAGAATTTGCCACTGACGATTCAAACGCGAGTTTTGGGCAGTGTAGAGTAGTGCTTGTAGTTTGTCATTTCTCCAATCACATGGTTTTATTATGTTTACGTGGCGCGATGCAATGCGTAAAAAGACAGTGTAAGTCATTATAATCCGTAATTATGTCCCCACTGGATGCAACGAATGCCTCGTTTATAATGGGTTTTAATGTTTTTGTCTCATCGCTCCGGCCAGACAGGGCATCATCACAGTATGGTAGGGGCGTACAGTATGGTAGTCACACGCTTGTCACAATGCACTGGATAGCTGGCGAATCAGAGCACACCTCGCTTTTCAGAACGATGAGCTTTGTAAAAATCGACATGTTTCAGAAAGGCGGGGCATAGAGGAGAAACAATAATGTACAGTATGTGGAAAATGTGTTTTTTGAACCTTAAACCACATAAACACATTTCATTACACCAAATACACAAAATAATGTTCTTTTTAGCAGCATCATATGACCCCTTTAATATAAATTTGAATATCTTCTTGAAAGTAAGAGAAGTGGGGAGTAACTTTCATAACCTTGCATTTGTGGATAAAATATTTTGCAAGCAAAATAATTAAATTGCAGAGAAAGTAAACATTTCCATATTGCTTCTCAAAAGTGAAAAATCCAAACAAAACATCCTTAAAGAAAAACTCAAAGTCATGTATGACGTTTACAATGAACTGGCAAATGTCTTGCCAAAGTTTCCTTGTATGAACACAATGCCAAAAAAGATGCAGGACAGTCTCTGGTTGCGAGTCTCAAAAAGTACAGTTCACATCTATGTTTAACTTGAATTTCGACACAATAAATGTTTTAACAGGATAGTACTGATGAATAAGCTTACAAGAAATCTCTTTAATCTTATTTACCAATAAATACTTGTTAGGAAGCGTCCAAACCTTTTTCCACAAAATATTTTTCACTGATCCCAAACGAATCTCTCTCTTTTTTTTTTTCATTGCAGAGAACGGGAACATAAAGAAGAATAAGCATACGTCACATAATATCAACCACAAAAATTAAATGGAAACAAAGCACAAAAAAACAATAATAAAAAAATAAATAATAATAATAATAATAAAATAAAGATAAGAGGGCCAAAAAGCGAGGTGTGCTGTGATTGGCCAGCTATCCAATGCGTTGTGATTGGTCGAATATCTCAAGCGTGTGATGGAAATGTTACGCCCCTCACATACTGTTGATGAGGTGTAAGGCCGGAGAGACGAGA